AGAAACTTGCAGTGACCTCATACAATGTAAATAAATCAGTGCTGCTTTCTGTCTATGCAATATATATATACGCTTTTAAATGACTATTAAAGAAAATTGGTATTTTTCCAGAAAAGGGGCGCATATATAGTTTTTCCTGGGCATGAGCTTCATTCACTATCAAGAGATTTGTCTATCATAAAAACAATAAATCTTTTGATTCATTTGAGTCATGGTTGCTTATACTTGGGAAGAGCTGTATTTATTAGCCAGTAAGCTTTTTATACATGCCTATACTGCTCCAAAATTGCAAAACTAATCTGTGTACTGCACATGTCACTTCCAGAATATTTCCTGGCCTCTGCCAGCTGCCATCAGGAGGCCGTGGAACAGACCATCATGGCCCTGCAGATGGACCGGGACAGTGACGTCAAGTACTTTGCGAGCATCCACCCATCCAGCACCAAAGTCTCTGAAGATGCGATGAGTACAGCTTCCTCCACATACTGAGACCCAGAATCGCGTGTCCTTCCTGCTTCTACCAGAGCCAGGCCTGACTGCCCTGCACCAGTCTGGGACAGCTGTGGGGGGACCTTCCTCCTGCCAACTCATTAGCAGGTGCAAGTTGCCTACTCCCAATACCAGTGGTTTTAAGAGTCAAGAGAAAGTACAGTAAACACTATTATCTTATCTTGACTTAAGGGAAAGTAATTTCTCAGAGGATTATAACTGTCACCAAAGCCTTAACTTGTTACTTCATCTTCCTGACTGAATGACTTGAATTGGCAGAGCACTTTCCCTTCGGAAAGGGTGAGGTTCCCAGAGATCTGCATTGCTTTCTCCTGGTTTTATTTAATGGCTGATAATTGAGATTCTCAAGGCCAGAAGTGGATGTGCACATCGGGAAAGACCTTCAGTATTAGCCTAAGCATTCCTTACAGGTGCGGAGCCTGTTCAGCTCCTTGGCTGCCCTGCCCAGCCCTCAGTGTGAATAGTTCTTGGCATATATAAATGACAAAGGAGATTTTTTTCTCCTAAGGGCTTGACGTTAACACTAAATAGAATTTTGACTCCTATTGCAGCACATTGCTGTACACATTTACAGAATGTTTGCAGAATCTCTCTCCTGATTTCTTTCATGCTGGTCATGACCTGAAGGAAATTTCTTAGCACGAATATTGTGTCAGGTGTTTTAACTTGATCATGGTCAGCTCTGAGGTGCAACCTTTTCGTCCCATGCTGCACACACCTGTGACCACTCTGGGGCGTGCAGCCTTAATCATGCTGTTAGAACTGTTGTGGTACAAGTTCCAAATAAAATTTATTAATAGGATCTATAAAGAGATCACCCACTTTGTTTTCTAAATGTCTACAAATAAATGTAATGTGTGACCTGTATTACTTAGCTAGCATAAGATGGGGGAAAGATTAAAATGTCTTCACCTAGCTCAGTAGTCTGTTTGAAATCTGCCAGGTGTTCATCCATCACTCCTTGGCAGACAGCAGCGGCCTAAAGACCAGGGATGATGAGATCAGCAACCTTATTCTGAAGCTCCTGAAATACAGAGAGACACCTCCAAGTCTCGATTTACTTATCTAGATGGGAACTAGAAAAACCCTGTTTCCCAGAGTTGTGTAATTGCATGAGGGCGTGCGAAGGCACTGTGCTGCAATGCAGATTCTAGTTCCTGCTGTGCAATCCCTGTCCGTTCTGTGGTCCCAGTGACGGGCTGACGTATACTGCTCAGAACTGCTATCAGAAGACATAGATTGCTTCCATGTAAACTCCCACAGACAAGCCTGTGCAATAAAAATGGAAGAGTGGATAAGAAATGCGCACACTAACACTCATGGGTGGGCCAGGACAGTAATTGCTCTGGGTGTTGGCTCTCAGACTTCTGAAGACAACACCAGAGCTGTGTTTGGGGACAGGGTCATCTCCCCTTAGTTTGCTCTAACTGCAGAAGGTCACGTTCTACAACAGTAATCTTGCCCCTCAGAACTTCAGTTCTGTAACTGATGTTAGCAGGTGCAGTTTCTGAAGACAGTGGCAATGGAAACTATTTTAGGGTGAAGGAAGTCAACCTGCGGCAAGTTAAGAGTGCTAATAGGTGCAGCTTCCTGCTGCTTGATGCCCTCCTTGGGCATCCCTCTAGACGCCAGGCTTCCTTCAGAGCTCAGTGCAGTCAGTCACTGAAGACAGGCCGCTGCACTGCTGAGCAGCCGCAACACAGTGCGTACAAAAGCCTTCCTGGTGAATTACTCTCCAGTGAATCCAAACTAAGAAAAAGGATCTTCATGACCAAAACAACTTGAGAAGGAAGTCAGGGCAGGCGCCGTGGAGGAACAATGCTTACTGGCATGTTCTGTACAGCCCAGGACCACTTGCCCAAAGGGCAGCATTACCAACATGGGGCTGAAAAAGTCAAGGAAATGCCCTACATCAATTACGAGGTTCCCCCTTTCCAGGTGACTCCAGTTTGACAAAAAACTAACGTGCATAATTAGCCCTCCGCTGACCCACAAATACATCACTGTTCAACCAGAACCTTTCCTTTGTCCCCAGTCTGTCACACAGAGGTCCTGTCTTTAAATTTTTCAACACTTTTATTAGTTCAAGATCTCTTGTCCCTTAATTGTGGACTCCTATAAAATAATAAACAACCTGTATACAGTAAGAATCCCAATCTTCTGGGCCCATGAGCTTTGCCCCCACAACTTGTCTCAGCAGGCATGCTCTGTTCTACACTGCTGCGATTCTTGTTATCTAGTAATGGTCCTAGCTCTGCAACGCGCTGACATTGTCACTGTGCCTGAGGATGCAAGTACTAAGTAGCCTTTCCTGGTTCCCTAGGACCTTTAGCTTCTCTCCAAGACCCCTTCAATCCTGGAGCCTCCTCTACAACCGAGTCACAGTCCCTTCCCCCTGGCCTCCTGATTGCAGACCTCAGCAGCTCTCTGACTCACCCTCTCACACCCTCAAAACCAGGACCCATTGCCGGGCTGAGCTACCAAACTTTGTGATGCAGCATTGCCCGTCCTGGACCACACCTGTGTGCTGACCCTTAGGAAATACTCCCCAGAGACTTGACCTCAGTGATGCTGGGTTTTCAGCCTGAGCTAACCAGCACCAGCTGTCTCAGTAGAGCAAACACTTCACTCAGTGGTACTGGTCCCGTGTTCATCACAGCTCATTTTCCAACCCTAGCCGACCAAAACACAAATACTGTATTCCAAATGTCACACAAACAGCAATAGTCTTCGAGGGACTCTCAAACTTCCCAAGTCAGAACCCCACTCTGCATTTCTCGCAGTATTTACCAAGTTACTACAACAGCTCATTAAGCCAAGCCCTTGACCGTTTTTGCAGACAGAGTTCCTCACAGTCACATCTGCCACAGCAATGCTCCACTTCAGGACCAACTTCCATCCTGGTTTGTTTGATGTGATAAACACTGGGACCAAAAGCAACTTGGGAAGGCAAGGGTTTGTTTCATATGACAGATCCTAATTTACCGTCAAGGGATACTAGGACAGGAGGCTGGAGGTAGGAACTGAAGCAGAGTGGAGGAGCACTGCGTGCAGGGAAGCAGACGGTGGAGGACCACTGCGTGCAGGGAAGCAGACGGTGGAGGACCACTGTGTATAGGGAAGCAGATGGTGATGGAGCACTGTGTACCGGGAAGCAGACAATGGAAGATCACTGTGTATAGGGAAGCAGACAGTGATGGAGCACTGTATATAGGGAAGCAGACCGTAGTGGAACACTGCTTACCGGGAAGCAGACGGTGGAGGAGCACTGTGTACCAGGAAGCAGACAATGGAAGATCACTGCGTGCAGGGAAGCAGACGGTGGAGGACCACTGCATACGGGGAAGCGGACAGTGATGGAGCACTGCGTACGGGGAAGCAGACAGTGATGGAGCACTGCGTACGGGGAAGCAGACAGTGATGGAGCACTGCGTACCAGGAAGCAGACGGTGGAGGACCACTGCGTGCCGGGAAGCAGACGGTGGAGGACCACTGCGTGCAGGGAAGCAGACGGTGGAGGACCACTGCGTGCAGGGAAGCAGACGGTGGAGGACCACTGCGTGCCGGGAAGCAGACGGTGGAGGACCACTGCGTGCAGGGAAGCAGACGGTGGAGGACCACTGCGTGCAGGGAAGCAGACGGTGGAGGACCACTGTGTATAGGGAAGCAGATGGTGATGGAGCACTGTGTACCGGGAAGCAGACAATGGAAGATCACTGTGTGCAGGGAAGCAGACGGTGGAGGACCACTGCGTACGGGGAAGCGGACGGTGGAGGAGCACTATCTACTGGCTAGCTTCCCAAGGCTTGTACAACTTGCTGCTGCTGCCTTTTTTTTTTATTTTTTTAGCTATGGATCCTGTCCTGGAACTAGCTCTTGTAGACCAGGCTGGCCTCAAACTCACAGAGATCCACCTGCCTCTGCCTCCCGAGTGCTGGGATTAAAGGCATGCGCCACCACTGCCTGGCTCAACTTGTTTCTTTTACACACCCAGGGTGGCACTGTCCACAGTGGGCTGGGCATTCCCATACCAGTCATTAGTTTTTAGAATAAGGAAGAAAGATGCTTTTTGCCAGTCTGATGGAGGCGGTCCCTTAGCCGACACTCCCTCTTCCTAGATATATCTAGTGCTGTGTCCAGCTGTCAGACCCAACACAGGAGACAGCTGCTCTGGCTTCCATGCCTTGATCACCGTCAATACCTGAAGGAAGTCAGGGCAAGAGCAGAACAGGAACTGGAGGAACACAGCTTACTAGCGTGCTCCCCCATGGCTTACTACAATTCAGGACTACCTGCCCAGAGGTGACAACCCCCCTCCCCCATATCAATCACTGGTCAAAAATATGCCTCACTCACAGCCCACTGTGATGGAGACAGACCAACCAACCTCAATGGAGGTTACTTTTCCCCTAGCAACTCATCTGTGCCAGGTTGACAAAAACTAGCCAGTATACATGTCACCTTCTAATATCAGCTCCTCAGCAATTGAAATGGCGAGATGCTCAGGAACGGCCAGCCGGATGCAGGACGCAGTAGGAACTAAGGGAAAAAACATACAGTTACATCTCCCAGGGAAAAGCCGGCAGCAGTTACAGCTACATCTCCCAGGGAAAAGCCGGCAGCAGTTACAGCTACATCTCCCAGGGAAAAGCCGGCAGCAGTTACAGCTACATCTCCCAGGGAAAAGCCGGCAGCAGTTACAGCTACATCTCCCAGGGAAAAGCCGGCAGCAGTTAGTACTTGAAGTAATTTTCTTGATGTAAAAGTGAGTAAGGGATAATGTATCCCCTTGACATTTATGAACAGTTCAAAATAATAATACCTTATAGCTACTTGTAGCCAACCATGGAAGGTCCTGGTTGGACTATGGAGCGGGTGAATGTCCACAAAATCTCAGTACCTCGCCTCAAAAGGAAGTAACAGTTTATTCTGGAGCCAGATGTGAACATCTGTTCTGGCCCAGGAACAAACTCAGCTTACCCCAAATACCATGTTCCAATGTGGCAACAGTTTCATGAAGTTTTTCTAGCAACAGGACAAAGGAAGATCTAAATCATGACCCTTTTCACGTTGTGGAAACATTGGGTGGTTAGTGACCGCAAAACTGAATGGTGGTGTGGCCTCGTTATCTCGTGACTGGTTGAAATTAGTGGTTTGCTGAGAATACATTGTGAGGTGGGTGGGACGTAAGGGTGGGCAAAGAATGGCTTTCAAGGAAACTAAGATCAGCACAAGCCAGTGTGGCTTTGCTCTGCAGCATTTTGCCTCCCTAGCCACCAAGGTCGTCATTTAGCCATAGGATTTAGTACTGCTGCAGCCCCTCTCGCCACTTCTGCTCACTATGGAGAAAACATGATTTCAGACTCAGCTTGGCCACCTCTCCCCAGGCCACTTCAGCTGCACCCCCTTCCCTGCCCCTTTAGGAAGTGTTTGCAGCTTCTGACGTCAGCTTTGCTGGCAGTTCCTGTTTGCTTGCAGGGTTGTCTAGGGGAATAGCCACTTACTTGGTACATGACCTTTCTTCCTGAGGTCTTCGGAGTTAACTGTGGTACTCACACTAGTTTGTTTTAACCCTAGAACTTTACACTAAGAGCTGGCAGGCTTTGTTACAGAATACCTGTATTCGTTGGCTCTTTTGGCTACTGCACAGGCAGTGGGCAGCATGGCCCCAGCTCGCCTTACACCTAGCTGCTGAGGTCCCATTTCTCTGGAGGCATCTCAACATTGCCTGCCTGAACCATCAGCCATGCTCAGCGTATCAGGAACAGATACTGGGTGGCTGCACAGGGCAGAGGTGCAGGCCTTGACTGGGAAGGTTCCGAGAGGTGCTTCCAACCCAATGGTGTTTCTTCGCAGGCTTCCACAAGACAGAACATAAGCAAAGAAGCTCCTGCCAACTCAGTCTTCTGGCCCGTCCTAGCAGAGAAAGTACCTGGAAACAAGTGTGTGCACACAGACTGGATGGCTTCTACTGCATTTTACAGACCGGGGCCACTGCGGGTGGAGCTCCCACAGGGACTCTTGAGTTTAAAGTGGCTTCCTGAAAACCTACAGAGTGTCTCTCTTCCCAAAAGACTAAATCCTGATTCTAAACTGAGGGTGGGGAGTGGCCGAGCCCTTAGACACCTGCTAGAATTTCATTCTTAGGCAGCAGAGGAAGGTTCTATGACAACTGCCCCACAGACAAGGTGAAGAGAGGCAAAGACGACCTGGGAGCCCATAATCCAAAGTAGGGAGGCAGGGGAGCAAGGCTGCTGGCCTCCTTAGCTCTTGTTTACTAAGATTATCCTGGGATGTTATTGTGCATTTGAATTAGTGAGGACCTGGTAACTGAGGGGGCAGTGTAAATTCACACCTCAAAATCCTAGCTACTCCAGCAGAGAGCCAGGGGAGTGGGCCAGCAGGACGCTTGATAATAGCACGCACTGAGTCTGAATCTGGGATCCTGCACAGTACATCAGTATTGTTTTAACTTTCATGTTACTCATGACTGCAGGTATGTCTGTGCCCCACTTGGGTCAGTGTCGGCAGAGGCCAGAAGAGGGTGCTGGATCCCTTGGAACTAGACTTACAGATAGTAGGGAATTGAACCCAGGTTCTCCAGAGGAACGGCTAGTGTTCTTGACCCGAGTCATCTCTCCAGCCCCCCAAATCAGTGTTTCAAAGGCACTGTGCCCAGGTTCATAGCCCACTTAGCAACAATCAGATTGACATGACCACAATAGGCAGAGAACAAATCTATACCCGAGAAAGTATCGGGGGAACAGCAAGAACCATTCAGTTTTCAAGGACACCACGAACTGCCCCGTCTGTTCCACTTAGCTCATTGTTAAGCAGTTCTTAGGCCCAGCACCTCTGCAGTGGAGACAACTGTTTCCGAGACGCCACAGCAGGGTGGCCAGATGTAGCAAATCAAAACACAGGCTACTCACTAGAGTCCTATGAACACTGAAAACATTTGGTGACTGCATTTTAGACATAAGGAGGGACTCTTAACCTAAGCAAACAGAAGGAAGCCAAGGGATGGCACACTCAGGGACCAGGCTGTCACGGGGTCATGGCTGGCCCCATCCACACGATTTGTAATCATTCTTCCCATCAACTGCACTTTCCACGTTACGTCTGACAGCAAGGAGCACTAATGCAAATTTTTTTTTAATGTCTATGTGAGAAATTCAAGGCACCTGATGGACCTTTGCAGCTAAAGACACCTCCCACAAAAGGGATTCTTGCTTTCTCTACTTAGAACGGGAATATTTAGCACTGCCTTGCCTGGATCTACAGGCCACAGCCCCAGACAGCAGCCAGAAGTATGGGCATGAACTCAGGGAGAACCACCATGTTCCTCCATATTCACCTACTCTGACTCTGCTGGAGGCCCTGGGACCAGGGTGAGTGGGGAAACACACTAGTTCCTCATCTCAAGCCGTACTGACAATAGATGCCGCCATCTGGAAAAGGGTAGACAGGTATCAGGTTGGCCTTGTGGTCACTGGTGCGAGAAATTGCTCAGGACTTCAAAACAGATCTGCGCTTCCAGAGTGCAGCTATTGGTGCTTTGCAGGAGGCAAGTGAGGCCTATCTGGTTGGCCTTTTTGAAGATACCAACCTGTGTGCTATTCATGCCAAACGTGTAACAATTATGCCAAAAGATATCCAGCTAGCACGCCGCATATGCGGAGAACGTGCCTAGGAGTCCACTATGAGGGGAAACATTTCATTCTCAAAAATTTTTTTTCCTCTTCTTGTTATCAGCACTTCTGAATGTCAGATATTTTTCCATGGGGTCAAAAGGTCCCTAAGTATATGACTGAGAGTGGAAAAATAGGGGCAGAAATCAGGTATTGGCAGTTTTTCCATTTTCCTTTGTGTGTGAAGCATTAATGCAAGCAAAATGTTTCAGTGAACACATTTCAACAGTTCAACTTTATAAAAATTATAAGTAAACCTGTTAAAATTTTCTGGACAATGCCAGCATTTGGATTTTTTAAAAATAAGTAAATATCTTATTGACGGCAACTAAATGGTGTTTGTAGCATTTTTATCATATAGTAGATTCCATCATTCACTTTACTTTTCTAACTGAGTTGTCCTACATGCAAGTACATGTTTTTAATGTTGTCTGTCTTCTGTGCTGTTCCTGTAAGTTTCCTATTAAAATACATTAAACTATAAAAAAAAGATATTCCATGACAAAACCAGATTTAAACAATACTTATCCACAAATCCAACTCTACAGAAAGTACTAGAAGAAAAACTCCAACCCAAGGAAGTCAACTACATCCACAAAAACACAGGCAATAAATGAGCTCCCAGCAACAAATTCTAAAGAAGGGAAATGCACACATAATGCCATAAACAACAAAAAACAAACATAACATAACTAGCAATCATTGGTTATTAATATCCCTTAATATAAATGGACTCAATCCACCTATAAAAACACAGGCTAATAAACTGGATATGAAAACAGAATCCATCATTCTACAGCATATAAGAAACTTCAACCTCAAAGACAGACATTACCTCAGAGTAACGGGTTGGGAAAAAAAATCCAATCAAATGGACCTAAGAAACAAGCTGGTATAGCTATCCTAATATTTAACAAAATAGGCTTCAAACTAAAACTAGTCAAAAGAGAAGAAGGTCATTTCATATTAGTCACAGGAAAAAAAAACATCAAGATGAAGTCTCAATTCTGAACATTTATGCCCAAAATAGAAGGGTACCCACATTTGTAAAAGAAACATTACTAAAGTTTAAATCATACATCAAGCCCCAAACATTAATAGTGGGAGATATCAACACCCCACTTTCACCACTTCAGGACGGCCAGACAGAAATTTAACGGAGAAATAAGGGAACTAACAGATGGTATGACTCAAATGGACTTAACAAATATCTATAAAACATTCCACACAAACACAAAAAAACATACCTTTCTCAGCACCTCATGAAGCCTTCTCTGAAACTGACCACATATTCAGTAACAAAGCAAGCCTCAACAGATAAAAAAAAAAAAAAAGTTAGAATTCAACAGCAACACTAAATCCAGAAAGCCTACAAACACATGGAAATTGAACAATGTTCAACTTGAATCACTACTGGGCAAAGGTCACGGTCAATAAGAAAAAACCGCAGCCTACAGAATGGAAAACGATCTTTACCAACCCCACATCAGACAGAGGGTTTATCTTCAAAATATACAAAGAACAAGAAATTGGTCGTCAAAAGAACAAATAATCCAATAAAAAAATAGAGTACAGACCTAAACAGAGAATTCTCAACAGAGGAATCTAAAATGGCTGAAAGACACTTAAGGATATGCTCAACATCCTTAACCATCAGAGAAATGCAAATCAAAACAACTCTGAGATTCCATCTTACACCTTTAAGAATGGCCAAGATCAAAACCACTGATAATAGTTTATGCTGGAGAAGACATAGGGTAAAGGGAACACTCCTCCATTGCTGAGGGAGTGCAGACTGGTATATTCGCCTTGGATATCAGTATGGCAATTTTCAATCAATATAACACAACCTCCATACCTAAGGCTCAGAGACACCCTGGACAAGAGCACAGAAAGACCCTAAGAGCCAAGAACCAGGACATCTGCTGTAAGATAGTCTCTTCTTAAATAAAAAGGGTGAATACAATCAAGATATATATAAAATCCCCTAAGAATATTATTTTTGAAAACTATATATATAATTTAATCATCAAAGGACCCTTATTCATTTAATAAATATACTTGCTATGATAAAGGTACTTAATAATAAAACGTGGCAAACAACTCAGGAACAACACCCATGTCAACCTCTGGTCTCCACACACATTACATACAAAAAGACAACACACACTAAGAAATGCTGGAGCTGTATTGACTGTCACCTGGCACTTCACCATGAAATTTAATAAAATGATAATTCACAGATCATGTCCTGGGTGGAGAATTAAGTCTAAGGTTTAACCCACACTAAGGCATGCACGTTACATATTCCCTGCCATCTCCCCGGAGACCAGTTTTAACAGGAGACCTGTGCATGCTGAGAAACCAAAGCCGAGCACTACCAGAGACCAAACTTGTCTTAACCTGAAGTTCCCACCAGGAGCAGAGAAAGGCGAGACTGTCTTGCTGAAGTCATCACCAGAGGACGTGATACTGAAGATACTAGTCAGTGGTGGCAAAGTCCCAGACTACAGGAACAAGCATCTAGCTGCAGGCTGGGGAGTGGGGACGTGAATATAGCAGCAACTTCTTACTGCTCTGCAAAGGGAGCCTACATATGGGATTTAAAGACCCTGGTCCTTGTTTCCTGAGTCTCCTGACCTCAAGTATAGAACCATTGACTAATTACGCATCCCAGAAACAATGCTCACCTTACAAGTGTGTAATCTTTTTTTTTTTTTTTTTTTTTTTTTTTTTTTTTTTTGGTTTTTTTTTTTT